ACCTGAGGTGATGGATGTTAACTAAGCTTATTATGGTAATCATTTTGCAATTTATACATATAACAAATCATTATGTTGTGCACCTAGAACTAATACAATGTTATATGTCAATTATATCTCAATAAAGCTGGAAACAAAAGTAATAAAAGATAAAAGAATATAAGAACCGTGAAATTTAAAAATAGATATATATTTATAAACATCTACTCTGTGCTATGGACACTCTTGAAGACACTAGGAATAGAGCAATGAATGAAATAGACCAAGATCCACGCTCCTGGGGACCTTTCAGAGTAAAGTTTGTCCAGCTTTAGCAAAGACCCCCCTGGCAAGTAGGTCCCTCCTGCAGACTCACCTACAGCCCTCCTCCAAGAGCTTCTCACCTCCCACCCACTTTCTACTCCACCCTCTGCATCAAGTCTCCCAGATGCCAGTTCTTTGGGTTCTATAACTAATGCTTTACTTCAAATTTTATATTTTCATGATGAGAACTCTTTTTATGTTATATGGATGGCTGGAATAAATGTCCTGTCAACAAAGTAAAAAGCAAAGGGGGAAAAAAGAAAAAGAACTTCCATTGAATCCTTACAACACTCCATCAAAGCTCTATGAATATTATCCCCACTTTAAAGACAAGGAAACGGGAGTCTGAGTCACTGGCCCCAGCTCACTCAGCTGACTGGGCACAGCAGGGTCGGGATTCGAGCCCAGGCAGTGGGACTCTGGGGGCCCCATCCTTACCGCTCTGGTTAGTGCCTGTCACTCTGGCAGGATCTGTGGCCGGGTAGCCCTCAGAAGGTAGCCGATCACCAAGCCACAAGTGGGGGAGGTGCTCCCCAGGCTTTCCTCTGCCCGGATGCCAATCGTGCCCGGGCCAAGGGGCAGGGGAGGCACTAGTGGCCGCAGCTCCGGGGGAGGTGGGGCTGCTGACCTGCTGACCCGGCAGAGGTCACCAGGGGCCGGCTCTGACCTCACCCGGGAACAGCTGATGTTCTTTCAACATGTCAGTTTCCTATTTCTTGGCTCCCGCCGCCAACCTGGGGTCAAGGGCGGGCCACCGAAGCCTCACCCTGGAAGGCTGGCAGCACAAGCGTCCACCCCTACTCGTTCTCCTCCCAACCCACCTTAAAGAGAAAAAAACTGAGGCCCAGAAAGACAGAATCATTTCTTCAACACTTTAAGGCAATTTTGTGGCAAAGCCTATGTTAGAATTCAGACCTCAGGACTCTCAGTTCGGTGTGAGAACTGCTAACACTAATCAGCTTGGGTTTTAAAATTAGGTTCCCTAGCGAGCAGGCTGGGATAGGATGGTGCGTGGGTGCATGTGTGTGTGCGTGCATGTGAGCGTGTTGGCCGATCGTGGGACACGAGCCCAGGACTGACACTCCGCACCACCCCCAGGGAAAGGAATTTCCCTCAGTCCAGCTTGTCTTTCAGGGACATTCAGGTTTTCAGTCATCGGACCCAGTGAAGGGCATGGGAAGGAGGAGTCCTGCCACCAGCGAGTCCCTATCAGGTGTCTTTCCTGGGAACACCTGCATCTGGGCAGCAAGAGGCTTGTGCAAGCAGCATGGCTGGAAATAGTGAGAAATAGAAGGAACTTCAACACCATCCATATGGGAGCCGTCACACAATGGCGGTATATTTAGTCAGTGGTGAAAAAGAATGAAGTAGGTCCAGATATCAGTCAAGGAAAGATCCCCAACGTATATTATGAAGCAAAAACTAAAGAAACGTGCCTACAGTATGAACCCAATTATGTACAAAAGCAGACTATCTATATGATTTTGAATGTGTAGGAAAAGGACCACATCGGCCTGACAATGGCAGTCCCTTTATTCACTCCACAGGTGCATGCGAGTGCCCTCCCTGTGCAGCGGGCCCTGTGCTGGCTGAGGGCGTCAGCAGGGAGCAGAGCAGACCCCAGCCTGCCCTCCTTAGCCCAGTGATGAGGGGGTGGGGGAGGGAAAGCGCACTATCTCTTTGTTTAATTACTCTGTTATCTGAAGTTTTTAACAATAATTCACTTGTGAATTTGTGCTTATAAATGGGTAAATACATAAATAAACAAAAGAAGGCGTGGGGAGAAGAGAAATGCATGGCTAAGTGCGCTGTGTGCCAGGTGCCTTAACCAGCAGGGGGCAGCACAGACAGAGCATCTGAGCTCCAGAGACCATCTTTTTTTTTCTTTGCAGGTACAGTGATCACAAGTAACAACCTGTGATCGTACAGGAGGTCCCTGTTTATAAAGCTCATCCAAAGTCATCGACTCCTTACATCCTCGCACCGTGCCTGTGAAGCAGGACTTTGTGTGAGTGAGGAGAATGTCAGCTGACTTCTCTGAGGTCTTATTTCTAATAGTTGGCAGAGATGTGTTTTCTCACATACGGGGGTGGGCACGTGTGTGACAGGGAATACACATACAGTAGCTTCATCACTTAAAACTTATAAGGGAGCATAAACCGGAAACACACACACACCCCCCACCGCACAAACCTCGCATCCATCTTCAACAATTCTGCCAAATAATAAAGTCTGGATGCTTCTAACCTACACAGAACCACTTGCCTATAGCAGTTAAGCAAATAAGCAGAGCAAACGTATCATCCACACACTTTCATGCACAGTCAGCAAAAGTGAGAGAGGGATATATAGATATATATAGATATATAGATATATAGATATATATATAAAGGCTAGTTCTTCTCAGTTCTTAAAGTGTGTCTTAATACCATAGACTACTATTTCTCAAACATGAAAGTGCGAACAGGCCACTTGGGAATCTTAATAAAATGTAGATTCTGATTCTGTAGGACTGAAGGAGGGCCCAAGTGTCCGCATTTTCTAGCCAGCTCCCAGGTGCTCAACGGCTACTGGTCTACGGGCCACACTTGAAGTAGTAAGGCTGTTGCCCATGTCACCCACTGCCATTCCTTTCCCTCTAGTTTGCATGAGATGCGAGCAACAGAGCTGCCGACCCCTCAGTTCCTTACCTTTCACTGTGTGAGCATCTCTCCCCACTGAGAGTAATTCCAGTGTTTTTTGTTTTGTTTTGCTTAATTCTAGTGTTTAAAGGCACATTTTGCTCATACGTGACTCTTAAGCCAAGCCCATCAATTAACCTCAACTTCACCTGAAGAAACTATGATCATATCATAGCTCTAGACTTCCACATCATCCCAAGGATGATTTTAACTATTATGAGATGTTGAGGTCCAATCTTCTGATATGATGTGAGTCCCATGAGTGCAACCCTGTCAATGACTTAAAGCAAAGAAAGGCTCAAAGTGTGGGGCCCTTTTACTTAATGCCCAGATGCTTCAGTTTGCTCATTTAGAAGACGAGGGATTGGACTACATGCTTCTTTCCGGCTCCTTTGTTTTGTTGTCACTCAGTTCCCATGGTTCTCAGCCAGTGGCAATTTTCTTCCTGGGAACGTTTGATAATATCAGGAGACATTTTTGGTTGTAGCAACTGGTTACTACATTCCAGTAGGCAGTGGGCAGAGATGCTGCTAAACCCCCTCCAGTGCACAACCAAGAATTATCCAGCCTAAAATGGCAATGGCACCAGGGTCAAGAAGCCTGGCCCCGTTCAATCCACTCATACTGATCCCTATCTTTGGCAACTTATTGAATGATTATCTGAATACTGCCACAGATTTGGGGAAAGAAAAAGATCACAGGCAGCCTTTCATATTGGACCTTCGAGGTCTTGCACAGGGAAGTTGAGTGCCTGAGGGGTCCAGTGGTTGGCTTGCATTATGATTCTGCCACAGACGAGCTGGATGGAATGGACAAGTGATACAAAATCTCTCAGCTTTAACTCCCTCAGATGTCAAGTAACTATAGGACCCACGAGGGCAGGGGTCTCTATAGAGGGGTCTCTATTTGGGACAGCAAAGTATATACATTCTCCTTGCTTATAGTAAGCACTTGTGCATTTCTTGAAGCAATGAATGATGCCTGACTTGCTTATAACATAATCTTTTCTTAGAACTCTGATGTTGACTGCTAGTTTTTAAATCTCGATGAGAGACTTGACAGTTAGGGATTACTATTATTAACAGCACCATGTCCTGGCAGAGCCAGAACGGCACTCCAGGATCCCGTACCATGCACGTACAGTACTGGCAGTAGGAAAGACGGAGGGCTCTAACATCAGATGCCCTGGGTGCAAATCTTAGCTCCCCTACATGAGCTTAGACGTTTGATTTACCCTCCCTAAGCCTCAGTTTCTTCATTTGAAAAATGGAGGTAATAATGATTCCTATGTCACAGGGCACTTGGAAAAATTAAAGTGAAATGAACGCAGCCCCTGGCACACAGCAAGCTCTCTGTAAAAGGAGGCTTTATCATGCTTTTGGCCTCCCGCCTCCAAATCAAGGGCACCCGCTCAGTTACCTCTCCAAACAGAAGTAGAGACACAGTGCTAAAATCAGAGCCCAGCCCCAGAGACCAAGCTGACCCAGCTCCTTTCTGCTGCAAGGAAAGTTAGGAGTTCACCCTCCTCGCTTCCCACTCTGTGTGCCTGAATGAGGGGTTCTGGAACAAATATTCCATACTTTCCTGCATGCCCACTTGGCCATATTCAGAATACAGTCCCAATGACTAGATACACCGCATTTTCATTCTGCTTAAAGGCCAAAGGACACTAATAAAGATGTCAGAGCTCAAAATTGTTTGGAGAGCGAAGAAACAAATGAGAAGAGAAAACTGCAGCCTTTGATTCAAGAATGAATTTTGCATCGAGGGCTCGGGATTACAGGGCACCAGAGACCACATTGGCACTCACGCTGCATTCCATTTTCTATGAGAAAGAAGAAAACGGGGGGTGGGGGGGGACACAAAATGATATTAAAGAAAGTGTATTCAAGCATATATCTTGATTTGAGCATGTGAACCCAAACCATTTATATTTTATAGCATAGTAAAACTTGGAGCCGGAAAGAAGCATGTAGTCCAATCCCTCGTCTTCTTTTTTTTTTTTTTTTTTTGAAGTAAACAGAATAAACCATTTATTAAAACATCGTGTAATAAAATAAACTTTTTGATCCAATGCTACAGTGGTAAACATTTTCCCCTCATTAACATTCCACCTAAAACATTCCACAGTTTAATTAATACAGAATCTGACCAGAACTTAAAAATACTTCTGTTCTTTACTGCTCAATGATTGAACAGTGAGGTGAGTGGAGATTTAGGTATTCTTGATGAGCCAAAGACAGAGGATGATAGCCTAAAAGACAATCGAAATTCCATATGCCCGAAGGTTAAATTTTATTTACCCTGTTCACTGGTCCAAACTTAAAATTTTCATTATATCAAGTAAAGATTTCATGAATCACCCCCTCCCAGCCAAAAATAAATATCAGGAACAAAATAAGGATAAGAGTTGGGTTTTAAACTGCACTTTATTTGTTACTATAACAGTCTTTTTTTTTTTTTTTTTACTGATCAACTATAAGCATGCAACAAGTTCTCTTCTGAATGGAACTGCTTCCACAGCCCTTTGGATATCAATAAGTAAATTATAAAGTCATTCAATTTGTAGCTCTCTCCTCCTTTAAAGCACTTCTAAGCAGTGAGGTAGGAAAGACCATCTTTAATAAATTATCTTCTTAATTGTAGAGAATTTCTGAAAATAAAACTAACAAAATGCTAAACCATGCCTCTGATGAGTACCAAAAGACCACAGAGCCATCTCCTCTTATTTGAAGAATTAGTTCCCTGGAGAGTTCTGGCCTTTGTAGGGCACTTGATAACAAGATCCACCAGGACTCCAAACAAATGCACTAAGAAAGCCTTCCACCACTCTCACTTGCCGATTCTTTGGACCACCCAATCTTGCTGGCAGAGAGGGCAGCGATTGTTCTGTTTCACCCACAGGGACATGCAGCAGTTGTGAAAGGAATGATTACATTCTCCCCAGACCACAACACAATCCTCTTGTTTGTTTTCAGCTTGACATCTAAGACAGGCATCCATCACCTGGACCCTGCAGATGGCGCACGTATCGCACTCCACGTCCCAGCTCCACATAGCCACCGCATTCCACTTTTTGAGAGAGAACATTTTGTCGCCTCCCGACTTGGAGCCTGCGCTCCCGGAGTGAGCGGACAAGGCGCAGGGTTCCTCGCCGTCTTCCACGTCGGCCATGGCGGCGACGCGGAGTCGGGGGAGGCGGGTGGCTCTGGCGGCTCTGTGGGGTCCAATCCCTCATCTTCTAAATGAGCAAACTGAAGCATCTGGGCATTAAGTAAAAGGGCCCCACACTTTGAGCCTTGCAGCAGCTGACTTGAGAAGAAGAGCCATGGGGCCTGTTCCTTCAGCCACTCCTGCCTCTCTCAAGGACTTGACTTTTGACCAGAAGGGACTGGAAGGGACTGGAAGGGACATTGGAATCCTGCTTCTCCTGGTGCACTGTTTTCACTGGGCTTGTGAAGGTTGTACATTCACTCACATACTCTTTACTGAGCACTTACTATGTGCCAGGCTCCATTCTCGGTTCTTGGGCTACAGAGAAGGACAGGGCAGGTGCCCGCTCCCAATGCACCTGCCTTCCAGGGAGCCACACAGTTCATAAAAGTGCATAAATCAGTTCTACAACATAATTCTGGTGGTGTTTCCTGCTCTCAGAGAAATAAAATAGCATGGGTTGGTGGAGAAGGACTGACAGGGAGGGGATAACTCAGAAGACCCCTCTAAGAGGCAGCTGGAGAGGAGATCTGACCCCTGAGACGTAGCCAGTCATGTGGAAGTCAGAGGGAAGAGGGTTCTGGTGAAAAGGAACAGCAACCATAAACACCAAGGCACGCGAGGGAGGCAGAGTGAGCAGACAGGAAGCCAGTGCGGCTGGAACAGAGAGAACAAGGAGAAGGTGGTAGGAGAGAGGTCAGAGCCTGCGGGGCCACTTGTCCGAGGACGCTGGGAGGTGGAAGCAGGACTGAGATTCGGCCTGGGGGCTCCAGGCTCAGTTTTTACGGGTCTGTGTCGACTATGCGGTGCAGACCCTTCTGTCGTGTTGAGTCTCCAGGTCAGATACAGGAGGACCCTGGCCACGCTGTGCTTACACTCAGCACCTGGCATGGGACAGGGCTCCAAGGCCAAGGGAGCCCCCAGGACCAGCCAGCACGGAGATGGAAAGTGGGCCCCTCATTCCCTTTAGGCACCGTGACTCATACAAGGTTAGTCAGTCATGAACCAGCCCTGCCAGCCCAGAGAAAGGGCTCAAGAGAGCCTAAGGCTAATTTTTTAAATCATTATTATTAATTTTTAATCATACAAGAACTCACGAATACATTTCCCTTATTTTAAAAACATGAAATGAGGGGCGCCTGGGTGGCTCAGTTGTTAAGCGTCTGCCTTCGGCTCAGGTCATGATCCCAGGGTCCTGGGATCGAGCCCCGCATCGGGCTCTCTGCTCGGCCGGGAGCCTGCTTCTCCCTCTCCCACTCCCCCTGCTGTGCTCCCTCTCTAGCTGTCTGTCTCTCTCTCTGTCAAATAAATAAAATAAAAATCTTTATAAAAAATAAATAAATAAATAAAAATAAAAAATAAAAACATGAAATGAAACATGGTCCCTAAGTCCAGTGTCCCCCTAAGCCACCTCTCCCCCAATCCTGGCCATCTGTCGGTGCCCCACATCTTTCTCACCTGGAGCTAAATACTGTCATTATTCCAGACCACATCTTATGCCCTAACATGCACTCCTAGGGAAGATAGTGGGCTTTCTACATGTTTGTCTTAATCATTTGTGGTGTACTGTAGGTATGGGTCTGCAGCTTGCCCTCGCCCCCACGGGACACTAGGTCTTGAGCAGGTTATGACATCATCAGCACCCACCTCATTTGGCTAGTTGCTGGGTGCCATTCCTTAGGACGATATGCCACTGTTCAGCTCCCTCTGCAGTGTCATTTATATTGTTTCCAATTCTCTTTGTATCACAAATACAATCCCGCTGCAATGAAACTTCCTCTCTGCCCACCTTGTGAGGATTTCTCTATGGTGGAAGGAGGCCTCGACTCTTAGATGCAATTCCCAAATGGAAGCAGAATGGGTCCTGGGAATTTCTAAGCACCTAGTGATCCTCTAGACGCCAGAGGCCTTGCCTTATGGTTACTGCCCAAATCCCCCAACGCCCACTGGGGCTCTGTAGAAGGAGGGACTTCTTTTCGATGAGCTCTAATGTTAGCACAGCAAGGGCAACCCAAAACTCGCCGATGCTGGGGAGTCAACTGTGGGATTCTCTCATAAATAGAGGCTTGCTGCCCTTTCTGGGGTTATGCGGTGCTTACAGGAGGCCTGTGGATTGCAAAGTCAGGCCAAGCAGCGCAGTGCACGTTAATGGTGTTCCTGGGGAAATGACGAGCACACACATACCGCAGCCTTCTGCTTGCCCTTTGCCATGGCCTTCCTGGGCATCAGGGTATAGGATGTTACCTTCTGCAAATTCTGTGTAAATAACTGAGCTCGAATGGCTAATTTGTAATGAGATGAGGGAAAAATAATCATCACCTACTTTGCATAGACTTTCACTCACAAAGCACGCAGTTTCTCATTGCATTCCTGGAACAACCCTGAGGTACACACAGGAAAGGGATAATTATAATATGTATTATAATAATGTTTAAAGGCAACTGTTATTCATTACAGCTGAGTAGATTCAGACAAGAATTAATTGGTTGCCCAAGGTCGCATAGCTAGGAAGTGAGGGCAAACCCGAAACTCAGGTCCTCCGATTGCCGATGCTTTTCTCTTGCACAGGACAGCGCTGTAAGGTCCAGCTGTGCCACCATGAAGACCCACTTGTAATTCTTAATACCTATGAGAGAGGGGCGCCCTCGGCAGATTCTAAAGGATATATTGGAAGACCATATTCTGAGATAGAAGTTAGGTCTTAAAGAGCCAAGTGAATAAAGAGGGAAGCCAGCCAATTCAGGGTAGGAGGGCATGGGAGTTAATTTAACTGAACTCTGAGATGAGTAAGTCCGTGTTGTCTGAGAGGTTTTCACTCCACCCATTAATTAAAGATTCTCAGGATACTTTAGCTAGCTGGTCATGCAAGGCCTCTCTAGGGAGGCAGCAATTAAGCGAAGACCTAAAGGAAGATGAGCTTCCAGCTTTGCAAAGAAACAGGGGAAGAGCAAAGCAGGTGTAGGGACCAGCATGTGCAAAGTTCCAAGATGGACAAACTCACCGCAAGGCCAGGGACTCCTTCCGTGTAGGGAGCCAAAAGGAGGGGTGGGTAGGAGATAATGACTGGCCTGGGCAGTCAGGGCTAGAGGAGCTCAGAGGATGGTTTCCAGGAGAAGACAGGACTTGAGGGCATCGTGAGGAAATGACTGGCATTATTAAAGGAAGGCAGAGCAGGGAGGTTGCTACAAAGCAGTACTGTAGGCAGAAGAGAGATGATTGGTGAATAATGAGTAAGGCAAAGTCCCTTAATCTGTAAAATGGAAGAGTAGGTTAGAAGGCTCACTGACATCCCTTTTAGATCCCAATAAGAAAACTGAGCCCAGGGAAGCTTGACCAAGGGAACAGCAGGGCTGAGTCCAGCTCCCAGATCTCCCAGATTCCCATCCGGAGCTGGCTCCACCCCAGCTCCTGGCTTCTGCTGGCAGGGCGACTATCAGGAAGGAGGCTCGGGCTGTGGTCGGATGTGAGTACGGGGCCACAGCAGAACCCTGTGGTGGGACCGTCTGCCCAGAGCTCCCCGCAGTCAGCACTGCAGCCCCCAGTGCTCTGATCTCAAAGCCAGTTCCTTTGTTCCCTGCCCCCCAGAAGCTTCCCAAAGACCTCAGGAACCCCTTTGATTTTTTTTTTTTAAACATTTCTGCACAAAACAATGTAAGCAACAAGAAGAAAAGTATGGCTCTATCACCAAACTGTTTGGGCCAGAAAAACAGGCCTGTGTCCTGCCAATTCCACCCCAGTTTGGGAGCTCCCCCAGGGAGGAAAGAGGAACAGAACTGGAGTCAGGGAGCACCACGCAAAGCACCATTTCCTGGTGGGAAGTCTAGTCTTTGCTCAGGGCCTGGGGCTCAGCCACAAACTAGTGGTGCCCCTGGGGGATCAAAGGTCTCTGCATCAGCCTGGAACATGGTCAGATCTTCTGCCAAACTCCAACCACAACACACCCAGAAGCTGAGAACCAAGAACTCTAGTAGGGCATTCCCATCCCAGGTTCCTGCATCTTGAGAATGTGGTCTTGACCATCTGCACCCCACTCAACTCTTCCACAAAGAAGCCTTTAGACTTATCACCTGCATCTGGTTTTGCTTCCCACTGGACCTGTGATTTTCTCTTTTTTCACTTAGTTCTGTACCCTCTCCTTCCCCACGGCCCTACGGCAAATCAGGATGGCTGTTCCTTCTTCTTCAGCTGATCTCAAATGTCACCTGTTGAGAGAGACACCCATCTTTTAGTGTCTATTACGGCCCTCTCTCTTCACTTGCTTTATAGACTGTAATCATTAGTCTGTGTGTTTATTTATGTATTGTCTCCCCCCCCCCCCCCCCGTGTTTCTGGCAGGCATAGCTCCTGGCATGGGTAGACACTCCATTAGAAGTTGTAGGATAAATGAACGAATGAATGAATGAACTAGAAAACAAAAGAATACCTTAGTTCTTCTTCAAATAAATGTCTGCCAAAAAGCTTACACTTGCCCAAGTGATTTTGTTAAAATTACATAATCCAAAACTTTACTTTGATCCAAAAGCCTGAAAATTAAGAGTGTGTCTTCCCAGGTCTTTTTTCTACGTGTTATAGATATATGTACATGTGGTACCTATATGGGATCCCACTTTGATTTAACTATTTTATATGATATATATATTCTATATGGTCTCTATATGATATTATACACATGTCCACTAATATACATTATCCCCCCAAAAATACTGAAATATTTTTCTGCAATTTTCTGATTTAACCACATACCGTGAAAGTCTTTCCCCACTACCACATGTAGATCTGTCTCATGTTGTTAACAACTACATATTATTTTTCAAAAATAAAAATAAAAGTACTCACTCTTAGTGAGATATTTAAGTGGTCTAGGAATGGCAAACAGAAATCATTGGATCACAAGCACCTCTTCCCACCATTACCACACCTCATAGGCCAGAAGGATTTCATGTCCAGATGAGGGTGAGTGAGGGGGTATTCATGAATGGGCAGGAGAGCACAGGAGTGGGGTGGGGTGGGACAGGCTCATGTAGAGGCAAGAAAGGTGGGAGGCAGCAGGATGGGATGGAGAGAAAAGCAACTGGGAAGAAAAGTTGGGGAGCCTAGGGCTGGGTTAGTCAGGGAGAGCAAGAGAGGGTCAGAAAATGGGGACAAGAGGTAGAAAGCAGCCCCTTCAGGGACCGGAAGTTAGGAGACAAGGGGGCTCTTGGAGTAGAAGAGAAACATAATGGAGGCAGCCAATCCACCCCTTGAAGAAGGTGGAAAATCTGTCTCCCAATGGTTTTCCCACCTGGTTTTCCAACACCCAGGAGCATTTGCCTGTTTCCGAGTGAGACGTGTTTATCTCCATTCTGGAGTCTCAAAGTTCAAAACAAACTTCCAAACAAAGGGACCCTCCGCTCTGCGGTTTTCAGCTTCATTCTCTTGCAAGGACAGAGCCAAGATTCGGCTTTCCTGATGACTTTCACAGCCAATTCCACTGAACATCCCACCCCCAGCTTCCTTCTGCGTCTTTCCTGGCTGCCTCCAATTGTTGTGGACATCCTCACGGGCTTAGTTTTTTTAGCTCTTTTTAACTCTTTTCTTCCTATCTTTATAATTACGCGAGGAAAATAAGATTGTTTTCCCAACAGAAGCAATTTGGGGCTTTTAGAGTGGACCAAAGTTCTCTCCCAAGAGCTGAATTCATCAGCATCGAGTTATAGATATTATTAAAAAGAACCCTAGAGGAGAAGAACCTATCTGTTAAGCTCCCTGCAGTTGGAAAATTCTGAGACATATTTTCATGGCCATCACCCTATGGAAAAGCCCACCAGGTTTACATAAATAGAAAATGACAAGACTGTCTCTGAGGGTAGGTGTAAGTGGGGGATGATACTAACAATCTGCACACATCATCTTCTTTTGCTAAGCATTACACTGAGTATTTTAATACACACAATAATCCATGAGGCAGGTACCATATCACACCCATTCTACAGATGAAGAATTTGAGGCTCATAGAGTATCTCACCTAAGGTCACACAGATACTAACTGATGGAGCTGGGACTGAAAATCAGCCAGGCTGGAAACAGCTTCTGGGCTCTTAACCAAGCCACCACTGGGTTTACCTAATTCATGCTTTGCTAACTTAATTATTGTCTACCAATCCTCCCCCAAGTAGGAGTTACACTCCAGGAGAGCATGTCCTTGTCTGTCCTGTTGTATCCCTAGCTGCCAGCACAGGGCCTAGCCCAAAGTAGACCCTCAATAAATGATTACTGAGTGAATGAATTAATGAATGAATACTATGTTTTTATTTGACTATGTCCTGTAATCTAAAAAATTCTGAACACTGAGGCTTTGGGTGATACTTAAATATGTTCATCCAACAGTCCTATTAATTTTAACCCATTTAACTTACCTGAGCTTTCTCCCAGAAAAAAAAAAAAAAAAATCTTTTTCCAAGCATCAGAACCTGGCAAGTTACACGAAATGTAGGAATTGAATAAGGAATCCCAATCTGAAAATGTAAAGAGAAAATGTAAATTTAAAAGATCTTTTGGAATCATATAAATATGTATTCATCACTTACAAAGCTGTTCTAGGCCCCTGCCTTTTTCAGTAGCGAAGAGTGGGCTGTGAATCACCTGGGATACTTATTTAAAATGCAGAGCCAGGGCGCCTGGGTGGCTCAGTCGGTTGAGTGTCTGCCTTCGGCTCAGGTCATGATCCCAGGGTCCTGGGATCGAGTCCCGCATTGGGCTCCCTGCTCAGCAGGGAGCCTGCTTCTCCCTCTCCCACTCCCCCTGCTGTGTTCCCTCTCTTACTGTGTCTCTCTCTGTCAAATAAATAAAATCTTTTTAAAAAAAGGGAGAGGGCGCCTGGGTGGCTCAGTCGGTTGAGTGTCTGCCTTCTGCTCAGGTCATGATCCCAGGGTCCTGGGATCGAGCCCTGCATCGGGCTCCCTGCTCGGCGGGGAGCCTGCTTCTCCCTCTCCCACTCCCCCTGCTGTGTTCCCTCTCTTACTGTGTCTCTCTCTGTCAAATAAATAAAATCTTTTTAAAAAAAGGGAGAGGGCGCCTGGGTGGCTCAGTCGATTGAGTGTCTGCCTTCTGCTCAGGTCATGATCCCAGGGTCCTGGGATCGAGTCCCGCATCGGGCTCCCTGCTCAGCAGGGAGCCTGCTTCTCCCTCTCCCACTCCCCCTGCTGTGTTCCCTCTCTCGCTGTGTCTCTCTCTGTCAAATAAATAAAATCTTTTTAAAAAAAGGGAGAGGGCGCCTGGGTGGCTCAGTCGGTTGAGTGTCTGCCTTCTGCTCAGGTCATGATCCCAGGGTCCTGGGATCGAGCCCCGCATCGGGCTCCCTGCTCGGCGGGGAGCCTGCTTCTCCCTCCCCCTCTCCCTGCTACTCCCCCCTTCTCATGTGTGTCTCTCTGTCAGATAAATAAATAAAATGTTTAAGAAAAAAAAAGCAGAACAAGAAAACCAGGAGCCTGGAAATCTGCATTTTGCAGCCATCTCCCTCATAAACAAAACTTTGAGGCCCACTGTGAGGAGGTGAAGGTTATTCCCCTCCATTGAAAAGAAACCCTGACAAGCTATCAAAATGTGTTTGAAAGCCAGTGACCCTCCGATGCGTCTCAGGATCCCTGAAGCGCAGTCACATCCAGGGATCATGAGCTGTAACAATTTTTTTAACCCCGTGTAAGGCAGAAACATTGTATTTATCTACAAAATATTCTTTCCCCATTTTTAAGAAGGTGCTCACCTGCCCTTGCCCTAACATCCAAGACTCTTGTGCACTGAGTCACTCTTATATGGAAGCAAGCTAGTAGTGAGAGGACCTGGTCCAGTTCTGCCGCGACATGAGGTGTGTCCAAGGGCGGGTAGCTCAGCCTCTGTGACCCACTGTTTCCCTCTCTATACGTCCGGGGTGGGAGTGTTCACAACATTTTGATTCTACACATGCTCGAACCAGAGTCATTCTAAGGACAGGGATCATGGAGTCTCCCGGTCTTGTTTGGCTATACTCAAAAGTCATGCTTCTGTGACCATGAATTAGGTTCAGAAGGTGAGAGGGTAAGTAGTCAGGGGAATGTAAAGAGCCCACCCCACTGAATTCATCATGATCAAAAAATCAGAATATAGGTTTCTGTAATACACACCTACAAGAGCTAATTACAAAAATAGTAATAACAATACTTTGGACAAGAGTCAGTCGGCCCTACGAAAACTGGGAGAACCAGTGAGGTTGAGTCGTGAGGCCACATACCGGCCTTTGCCTCATATGGGGAAGTATCTCAAGGCAGGGATTCCTAGACCTGCCACTCTGAGGGCTACAGAGTTTTAGATCCAGAAAAGACCTGGTGCATTTATCAACAAATGTTTATTGGTACCTACAGTGTGCCAGGCACTGTTCTAGGTATGGGGGGCCTGTGGTGAACCCTACTGACAAGACCCATACTCTCACCGAGCTAACATTCTAGCTGGGTAGGGAGATGAAAAACAATTGCCCTGAATGAATCAGTGATAAGGGGTATAAAGGGGGAGGTAGGGATACAAGTGAAGACGCTGGAGGAACCCCTAACGTCTCACCCACTCGGTCCAGCCGCCACCTTAGACACATGAGGAAAATGAGGCAGAAACAGCAGTGACCTGCTCAAGACCAGAGTACAAGGGAGCTGGTTAGAAGCGGAGTTGGAAGTGAGAACTGTCCTCCTGCAAAGCCCATCTTTCCTTCAGAGCCCCTCCCAATGACGGCTTTACTTTCCTAACACTGTCTTAGCCCATAGACCCCAGCACTGAGGGAGGGGAAAGCAGCGCTCGAGCCCCACCCCCGGCCGGCCCCAGGGCACAAGGGAACCCTCCATCCCGCCATCATACGCCAAGACCCCGGGAGAAGCCCGGAGGGGCGGGGCCTGGCCACGCGCCGGCGCGTCCAGCAGGTGGCGGCAGCGAGCGGCCGCGCCCCCCGCGCTGCCACCCCGCGAGCCCGCATCATGGATGTCGGGCTCTCCTATTTCGCTTTGCTCGCCTTGGAATTCGAGACTCCAGACGAGGACCAGGATTCATGAGCCGGTCGCAGGGGCCCAGGCAGGGGCCTCTGGCTCCCGACGCTGGCCGAGAGGTGGGTCCCGGGCGGCGGCTGCTCCCGAGGCCGGGCGGGGACGCGCTGCCCCCGCCCTGCCTCCCCGTGGTCCACACCCCCTTTGGGCTCCCGAGCCGCGGGGCTGGAGTAGTCGGGGGTGCGCGCGGGCCGGCGCTGCCAGCCCCGCTCCTGCCGGGCGCCGGGAGTCCAGGGGCCGCGGGACCCGGCGCGCGTGTCCTCCCGCCGCCGCCTCCTCCTCCCTGCTCTCACCTGCGCCTGTTAGTCCGCTCGCCTTCAAGGCCAGTGGCTGCAGCGCAGACTGCCGAGGGGACGGCAGAGGGAGAGAGAGCACCTGAGGATACAGAGCTGGCACTGGACTGCCTTTTCACCCCCCAGGTGATGAGTGAGGTCGGAAGATCGCAAGATTTAAAAAAGCAACCGGGTCCTCCGTATTGAATGAAAGACCCAGTGCAAAGGCATCACCATGAACACGAGCAGTAAGTGGGTCCTCCTCTCCTTTGCCATGGGAACAGGGTGGGGGCGGGAGGTGCAGGAGCCTGCGCTGGGGCTGCCTGGAAGGAGGAAGGAAGCCTGGCATCGGGGTGGACACACGGCTCCCAGACTCCTTCTTGGTCCTTTCTGTGCTCCCCAGAAGAGGGATGTGGGTCCGGCTTTCCATGACAATTTTGCTCGTGTTCTATTGGCAGCAACACTTGCCTCTGCGGGGAAGGCTGCTTGTCTCCTTCTAGCAAAGCCTGGGAAGGCCTAGGAAGCACTACCGTGGCCATTGTCTGACTGTGGGGGCTCTGAGGAGACCTCCTGGCACACAGCTGGAGAGCCATGGAGGGCCTGCCTTGTCCTGTAGCTGGGAGGAGCAGGGAGGCTGGCCCTGGGGCTTGTGGTGGGTGGATGTGGGCAGGCAGTGGGCTGGGAGCGAGCAGTTTGATAAACAAATCACCAGGAAGCCACCTTTGGGTCTAGAGATTGTGAAATATCCTCTGCCTGCAGCCCCATGGGCCTGGGGCTGATTTCTCCACACACCTACAGGCTGGGTGGCCATCCTGAGAAGAGAGGAAGGGAACAAGCCCTTTGGCCAAGATCGCTAACATGCCAGAGGCAGCAATTGCTTTGAAGAGACAGGACCAGACATTTTGCTGCTGGGCAGGGCCTCAGCTGCTGAGAAATGCAGGCAGAAATACAAGGAGGCCCCGTCCGTTTCTCTTCAGTGTCCCTTTGACCGCGGGCACCCACTGTGACCAGCACCCTGGAGAGGAGGTCTGGGTTCAAGTCCCCCCCGCTCCGGCCTCCTCATCAGCCCAGCTTGTCTGGGTCCTTCCAGTAGCTGGTGGGATTGTCGAAGCAGAGAACCCTAGGAACATTTGGTTCCCTGGGTTTGCGGCTTTCCCGTCAGTCTGGATCCCAGACTGCTGATCTGTAAAATGAGAAGGGTTGCATCTAAATCTGTAAGTTTCTTCTTAAAAAGCTAGAGCTGAACAGCAAGGCCAGAAAAACCCGTACCTTCTGAGGCTGGGTCCAGACCAAAGCCACTGTTTCTCCACCCTGCCTCCATTTCAAGGCTGTTGGCATGGAGGGGAGGAAAACAAAGCAAACGCCAGGGAGATGGAAATGAAATATATTTATTTACTATGTATTTGTATGACTCATCTCTCTGCTGTCCTCCTTTGTGTATCGCATAGCTCTGCTAAGCAAGTGTGGCCGAACTCCCTCTGCCTCTTCCAGCCAAAGAATTTTTCCTCTTGATTTTGACAGTCAGGAACGGTACTTTGGCTTCACACCAGGCTCCAGAAAAGGGCAAAATTCTGTAGACCTGATCACCTAAGTGGGCCACATGTTTGCCTCCTCATGCTTTCAGAGAAGTAAAGATGTGAGCTGCCTGTCACTTCTCACTATCTCCAGGGGAAAGATGTATTTATGGGAGTCCTTTCTCACTAAATGATAGGAGAGAAAGATGGCTCATCTATTTTTCAAGAAACTAAGAAATAAGTTCACAAACGGCTGGCCCTGCCCTTTTCTCTTGTCCCATTAGTAACACCGAATATTACTGAAAGAAGGAAACAGCTTTTACTTTTTTTTTTTAAGAAATAACAACCAATAGAATTGAATACCACAGAAGATGAGGACTAACAAAAATGCGATTCCAGCCTCATACACTTTTTCTAAGTAGGGAGAGTGTGTTTATTTTCCAGGAGTAGTGGAAAATAAACAGAGTAGAATGACTTGGGCAGCCACTGAGGTCTCCATAAGAAGAAGTGCTTCTCTAAGGGAACAGTTTGGCCACTCGTGCTCAGGGCTCAGGGGAGGGGTTCCATCGTCCCTGAGGTTGCTCCCAACCCTGAGAGTCTGCAAATGGAGAGAATAGAAATCAGACCTCACATGAGTGAAGCAATGACAAGGTCATAAGGTAATAGGGACTGGGCGTTGGCAGGAGCAAAAATGCTCTCCCCTTTGGGATTTGAAATTCTTACTTAATCCTCATGAACCTAAGAGACACTCTCACTCAGTTTTTCTCTCCCTTCCATGTATTGGGTCCTCACCCTCCACCAGTCACTGTGCCCAGCATTGCACCTGTATGATCTCCCCAACTGTCACCCCCAACCTGGGAGATGGTGTTACTACTCCAGTTTCATGGGTGACAGCTCGTAGCCAATAACATTCACTAACTTCTTCAAGCCATACAGTTAGCTGTTGGATTATGAAAGGTATTCGGATGCATTGTGTTTTGATAGTGTGCATCATTCCTAATCAATGGTTCAGACGGCACCCCTGAAGTGAGGGCAAAGCATGAGAGGATGATGAAGTGATAATCGCTTCATCTGGGCAAGATGATTCGGGGCTAAGGTCTCAGGGCAGCGTGGGAGAGCTGATAGGGCTCAGGCTCTCGGCTCAGCTGGTCCCAGGTTCGGGTCCTCATCTTTCACTTGTTAGCTGTGCGGTCTTCAGCATGGTTGTCTCACTTGGAAAATGGGGATGATAGGACACACCTCGCGTGAAATGGAGAGAAATATTAACATGGCATGCCAAATACAGAGTGTGGTGCCTGGGCCATCGCTGGCGTCGTATCAGCGACGGTGGTCAGGCTGTTCTTGTCACCCCAGTGGTCATTGTGGTGGTTGTCATTGTGGACTCTATGTCATCAGCCAGCAGGTCCCTCAGCCTCTTAGAGGCTGGTCATAAATTGAGGATACCAGAAGTGTGATTTTGAGGATTAAGCGGGATCAGGAGAAAATGCTTTGTACACATATGTGAATTGTTTTTAATCGTAAGTGAGACACACATGGCTCAGATGGTAACACCAGGGGAGTGCTCCATCGGCCCCTTCTCAGTGCACTTCTAGTGTCTTTGGAATCCTTACCTCCAAAATCTAGCTGAGCTTCAGTACACCGCAGAGCAGGACTTTGAGAGGAAGGGGTAATTCTGGGAATGATGGAGTCGGGTGGTATGAGGGAACGTCCCCTGATGTATGCTGCCCGTGCGCCCTGGCTCTGTTCCTTCGGAGCCTTGTCTGTCATCCCTCGCTCGTCCATGGGACCGCTGGCCACTTTCCCGAACCCGCCCAGCAAGGAAGGAGCTGACACCAGACCAATCACTTTCACACGCCCCTGGAGCCACGGAGGCACCACCATCTAACGTGCAACAATAAATTTTAGGCAACAGTGAATCTTTGGTTATTCCCTGTCGGTGTCTCCCATTCCCAGGTTGGCCCCAGGAATTCCCAAGCCTCCTGGTCCAAAGCCAGGGGAAACTGAGTTTACCCCAGGCTCCAGAGGCCCTGAGCTCCAGAGTCGATTCTCTGTCCCATAAAATTTCATTGTCCTCACAAGTCAGAACACCCAGAGCTCCTGCGAGTTGCGGCTTTCGGAGGCACAGAGCTCAGCAGCGGCCCATCCTTCAGCTTGGGGAGCATCACACGCACCACGCACGGTTGTGCCAGGAGCCATCCTCCTTTATTTCATCGGCCCTTCCTGTCCTCTGACCCTTTCCTTGGTCTCTGTCATGGACTGGCATGCCAAATGGTTACTGTTTTGGAGTAGACTGTTGTGCTAAAAAGAGCATCGAAGGTTCCTATCACCCTTATCATGAGATAAGCAGACACCATCCTGGAGCTGTAAGACCCTGAGCTTGGGGGTATGGATTCCTGAGTTCAAATGTAAGATGTATGGTGTACTCTGTGATCTTGGACCAGATAGCCACGTCTCTGAACCTGAATGTTATCACGTATAGAATGCGAATGATAATGCCAAAGTGCAGGGTTGTTGTGAGGATGAAGAGGAATAAAGTGAGAAGCTCACTGGCCTCGGTCCCGGGGGATGGAGTTGAATCTCAAATTGAATTGGCCACAGAGCGAAGTTCTGAAATGACAGGATCAGAAGAACCAAACCATCTGGTTGAAAGTGAGCATGTTTGGCCATTGTTGTAGCTATAGCACTCGGTTCTGTTCATAGAAAGCCATAGCTTCCTGAAGGAAACCTTCGGGAAGATTATTAACCCGGTATTGTATAGGGCATGGCTGGAAAAGGGCAAGACAGGAAGTTAGGATCCTAGCTGAGAGACAATCACCCTGGTTCAGAAAAGGCCTGAGGGCCAGGATTTTGGTGGTTGTAAGAATAGAGATGGGGGGAAAGATCTTTTAGAAAATAAAATCTGGGGCGCCTGCCTGGGTCAGTCGTTAAGCATCTGCCTTCAGCTCAGGTTAAGATCCCGGGGTCCTGGGATCGAGCCCCGCATCGGGCTCCCTGCTCCACGGGAAGCCTGCTTCTCCCTCTCCCACTTCCCCTGCTTGTGTTCCCTCTCACTGTCTCTCTCTGTCAAATAAATAAATAAAATCTTAAAAAAAAAGATAAATAAAAAAGAAAAAAATCTTAAAAAGAAAAGAAAAGAAAATCTGCATGGCCTCGCAGCTACTGGATTATAGGATAAAAAAGAAGGGGAGGAGTCTATCAGTTAGGGTCCTGGCAGGGAACACATGGGCAATTTGAAGGGAGTTAAATAGAAGGAGTCTTTGCAAGTGTGTGAGAAAGGGTGTAGAGAAACAAACCAGAAGCTAGGACGGCCCAGTACTAGAAGGCTGGTGACTGCCTGGCCTCCCTCTCCTCCGTCCTCCCGTCTCCCACTGTGCTCCCCATTGGCCCAATCCAACCAGGGGCCAGTGGGCAAGGAAGGCAGTTGATGGGCCCATAATATTCAGCCTCACAGGGCACAGTGCAGAGTAGAGAAGGCAGCAGCGGGTGTGGAGACACATGGGAGCTCAGAATGGAATACACCCAGCACAAGGAGCAAGATGACCAGCCTCTGCCAGGTCAGGACTCCAGGAGTTCTTTACGAGAAGGATCCATTACAAACACAAACTTGGTAGGCTGCCCTCTAAAGCAATTTTACATTTGCAAAATTTAGATAAAATAGAGATGACTGTATACTTTATAAGGATGGAGATTTTTTTTTTTTTTTTAACCATGCTTCCCAAATGAATGAAGTAGTT